AAAAAAAAAAAAAAGATAAATGTTCAGGGGGCACCTGAGTGGCTCAGTTGGTTAAGGAGCCTGCTCTTGATTTCAGCTTAGGTCGTGATCTCGGGGTCCTGGGATCCAGCCCTGCATTGTCAGGCTCCCCGCTCAGTGGGAAGTCTGCTTAAGGAATCTCTTCCTCTCCTCTGCCCCTCCCTCCTGCTCACTCTTGCTCGCTCGCTCTCTCAAATAAATAAATAAATCTTTTTTAAAAAAGACATGTTAATATTTTCACTTACTTATACAGCCGGTATTTTAATATATTCTGTTTCCTATAGAATATATTTTAGGGTTTTTCCTGAAATGAAGATCACATTTAAGAGATCATTTCAGGGGGCGCCTGGGTGGCTCAGTTGGTTAAGCATCTGACTTTTGATTTTGGCTCAGGTCATGATCTCAGGGACATGAGACAGCCCTGCATCAGGCTCTGTGCTGAGTGTAGAGCCTGCCTAAGAGTCTCTCTCCCTCTCTCTCTCTGCCCCTCCCTGCTCATGCTCTCTCTCAAAAAAAAAAAAAATTTTTTTTTTAAAGGATATCATTTCAGTACCTTAAGAACTCAGGCCCCAAATATAAAAATGCTTTATTTTAATTAAATAATAAAATCTTCAGATTTACATTTTGCTTCTGTTTTATAAATGACTACTTATAGAGAAAATTTGTATTTTATTAATTAAGCACAAGAGCACCTATTTAATTAGCTGTGAGTGGTGGTCTTGTTTTTGCTTCTTGGTACTTACTATGGGAGGACGACTTTGTAGGAAGGACATCATCCAGCTAATAGCAAACTTTGTTGATCCCAATCCAAGATTTCCCTGAAAGATGCAAGGAAATAAACAAGTTATATTCATGAAGTCCAACTTATACATGAAAATAAATTCATTCTCTAATACATTTTATCTTTTTTTCTCTCCATCTTCTTTTTTTAAAAATTTTTTATTGTTATGTTAATCCCCATACATTACATCATTAGTTTTAGATGTAGTGTTCCATGATTCATTGTTTGTGCATAACACCCAGTGCTCCATGCAGAACGTGCCCTCTTTAATACCCATCACCAGGCTAACCCATCCTCCCACCCCCCTCCCCTCGAGAACCCTCAGTTTGTTTTTCAGAGTCCATCATCTCTCATGGTTCGTCTACCCCTCCGATTTCCCCCCTTCATTCTTCCCCTCCTGCTATCTTCTTTTTTTTTTTTCTGAACATATATTGCATTATTTGTTTCAGAGGTACAGATCTGAGATTCAACAGTCTTGCACAATTCACAGCGCTTACCAGAGCACATACCCTCCCCAGTGTCTATCACCCAGTCACCGCATCCCTCCCACCCCACCCTCTAATACATTTTATCTTGATTAATGAACTCTCTATAATCAGTATTTAGAAAAAAAATTAAAAATAAAATCAATATTTAGGAAAATAAACTAGATGAGTACTTAAGAGCAAAAGTAGTATCATTTAAGTCAGCTGATTTTGGAGACCATCTCTAATACAAATATACTAAAGGTATATTATTCATATGATATATAATCACAGGTATGTAATAGTCATATGATATATATAACAATCATACAATATAATATGTATGATAAAAATATATATTGTACCTGCTGAAAGACAAGAAGTATCTCGTATAAAAGTGCCGTAGCTGTATCTGTATATTCCACAATAAGCTTCTGTAACTAGAATTTTAAATAATAAGACAATATAATTGGCAGAGCCAAAAAAAATGGTAATTTCTCCTGGTTACCATTAGGTACTTATAAAAGAATTTTTGATTAACTGAAAATATAGTGAGTGTGGTCAGTTTTCCTGTTCTGTTTGGTTCAGATATTCCCTCCCCCCAAAAAAATGGCTCTCATAAAAAGACTACACATTGAATAATGTTTAAGAAGGTGGATCAGGGAAAGAAGATACAATGGCCCACAGAATGCTAACACACAAAAAAACTGCGCACTTGATTTGCAAAATCATTCAGATCAATAACCCTACATCCTTTCAAGACTATTGAAATATGTTCCCTAGAGTTAAGGTAGGAGATTCTCTGGGAAATTTAAGCTTATGCCCAGTCTGTAAAATGGGTAAATATAGGGCTTAGAGACTTTTCTTCTTTTTCTTGCAAGAACTCCAGTTAGTGAGGCTGTTTTCTAGCCTCAAGTAACTCTTCTAGCCCATACACCACTTGGTACATGAAAGCTATGCCTGTGGGCATTGCTACAGGCCAACGCATCTTCCCGAACAGTATTCGTTGCAAGAAAGAGCTCTAGTTTGAAATCTCCCAGTCTGTTAGACCTTGGAACCAAAATGTATACGATCTGCTCATGGCTGCACTAATAGCCCAGGTGCAAAAGATCACCAAGTCTAAAAGCAGGAAACTCAGACCTATCTATTCTGCCCACTACATATTTTTATATGGAAATACCACAGGCAATCAAGTCAGCGAATCCAAAACCAAATTCATTGTTTCCCTTTTGACCCTACTCTTCTTGCTGTAATTCTTATCTGACACCCAAGCCAGAATTTTTTTTTCACATCAACCTGTTGATGCAATTTCCTAAAAATTTCTGGAATCTGTCCTCTTTACAACTACCATCCCTTTTCTTTTCTTCATTAATTTACTCAACAAATATGCATCAGACACTGTACTAAGTGTTGGGGTTACAATGGGGAGCAACAGAGACATGGACCGTGCCCTCATGGAAGATAGTGGGGGACAAACAACAGTCTAACAATCAAATAAATAAATGCCTCATTGCTAACTGAGATAAGAGCTCTGAAAGAAGAGTATAGAAAGTTAGGAGAGCTCTAAAATGAGGGCCTAAGTCTCGTTTCGGGGGTTAAGGATAGCTTTACTCTGGCCTCTGTCATTCCTCACTGGACAACTGCACTAGCTTCTTAGCCCTGCCTAAGTCTTGCTTCCATCCCACTCTTTAATCCCTAATCCACTTACTCCACTGTTGAAAACTGTATCATATATACTCCACATAGTCTCTAATATTCATATATATGAATAGGGCTATAATATTCATACAGAGGAATATTATATTCATGTTATATTTAATTAATGTCTGTCTCTCTAACCAGACTATAAACCAGTGAGGGCAGAGGTTGTGTCTGTTTTGCTTCTTGTTGGGACCCCACTGCCTAGCACACTGTTTAGCTCATTACAGAGTTTCAATAAATATTTACTGAGTGACTGAATACATCTAAGAGTTTTCTAAAACATAACTCTAATTGTATGTTTAAGAACTATCAAATCATATTCCATCCTTTAAAAAGAATTGTGTTGTTCTGCTCAAAATAAACTAATATTAAGCTGATTTATTCTCTCAGATTATATGCTTTCTAGATAGTCTGATATTTCTAATGTTTTAGTAAAACCTTAGAAAAACAAGTAATTCTCGCTGAGTTTGCACTACTTGGATAGATAAGGAGATGGTAAACTAAGGCAAGAGAGTTAGCCCTAAAATCTTTTAAAGACTGCTCTTTTGGGCGCCTGGGTGGTTCAGTTGGTTAAGCGTCTGCCTTCTGCTCAGGTCATGATCCCAGGGTCCTGGGATTGAGTCCTGCCTCGGGCTCCCTGCTTCTCCCTCTCCTCCCTCCCTCCCTCCTGCTTGTCCTCTCTGTCTCTCTCTCTTGCTCTCGCTCTCTCTCAAGTAAGTAAAATCTTAAAAAAAAAAAAAAAGTGCTTTTTTACTATTAGACCCCTACTGTGGAATTAGATATACATAAATATTTTGTATAGAGACAAACAGATTTATCGAATACATACTGAATACTAATTATTTTCCTTAGTATACATACTTTATTTTTCTTAGTATACATACTTTATTGTTTTCTTTTTTTTTTTTTTAAGATTTTATTTATTTGAGAGAGAGAGCACAAGCAGGGGGAATGGCAGGCAGAGGGAGAAGCAGGCTTCCCACTGAGCAGGGAGCCCGATGCGGGACTCAATCTCAGGACCCTGAGATCATGACCTAAGCTGAAGGCAGATGCTTAACTGACTGAGCCAGCCAGGCACCCCAGTATACATACTTTAAAATGTATAAAACAGATATATTAATATTGACAGAATAGCTATCTAAGTTTTGAGGTTAATGGCAAAATATTTACTCTTTGATTAAATTATATTTCTATATTCTACAATATCATGCTCCACATTAGAAGACAGAAAGCCAGGGCACCCCTACATATTATATTTAGTCTACCCCCAAAATCTCATCTCACCTCAGCATCGAAAGACATCTCAACTAAAGTTGAGTCAGCCACCAACTGGATATCAAACACAGGACAAGATTTTGGAATCTGAGGTTCACTAATTAAAATTACCAAAAGATTAAATAATGTTCCCCTGAAAAAATAAATAAAAGGCAATTAATGAATAAAGTTTGAAAAGAAAAACAGTAAAGCCAAGTTTGTAGACACTGACTACAATTAAAAGTATAAAGTATTGCAGACCATTCTTGACTGAACTTTTGGATCCTTGGATATGCAGACAATTAAGTAGTGGTAAAACATTTAACTGAAAATATATAATTTCTTGGTCTTTTGACTCAAAGCAAGTTTTGTTTTTGTTTTTAAAGAGAGTGTGCACAAGTGCGAGAGCAGGGGTAGGAGGGGCAGAAGGAGAGGGAGAGAGAGAATCTTAAGTGGGCTCCACGCCCAGCACGCAGTCTGACCCGGGGCTCAATCTCACGACCCTGAGATCATGACCTGAGCTGAAAATCAAGAGTCCATCACTTAACAGACTGAGCCACCCAGGCACCCCTCAAAGCAAGTATAGTTCTAGAAGTTCACATAGCTTAGAAAACTTAGTAAGTCTGGACTTAAGGGAAATCTGGGTGATTTCAATTAAAGTGATATTTTCCAAAGGGCTCTTTCTGCCCTCCCCCACAAAGGGCTTTTTTATGGACTATTAATTCCAGGCAGTATTATAGTCAAAATAGATTCTGTGGTCGAAAGAGGTATAGGAGATACTTGGTTAAACCGGTTCATTGGATATCTTTACTATTGGACTTCACAGAAGTTTTAATATACTCATATGCACTGTGTATCTCCAGGACAAAGAAACTGCTGTATGAAGCTTTTCTTAATGCTTATTTAATCACAGGTTTTTTGACTCTAGGACTCTTTTTAAAATTTTTAAATTGAAATTTGGTTGACATTAATTGCAGGTGTATAAGATAGTGATTCAACAATTATATGCATTATCAAATGCTTACCACGATAAGTATAGTTACCATCTGTCACCAAATGAAGTTATTACCGTATGACTAACTATATTCCCTATGCCATACTTTTCATCCCCGTGACTTACTTATTTTAAATTTGTACCTCTTAATCCCCTTTACCTATTTTACCCATTCCCCCCATTCTCCTCCCTTTGGCAACCACTTGTTTGTTCTCTGTATTTATGAGTCAGTTTCTCTTTTTGTTGTTATTTGTTTACTTTGTTTTTTAGATTCCACATATAAGTGAAATCATATGGTATTTGTCTTTGTCTGACTTATTTCACTTAGGATAATACCCTCTAGGTCCATCCATGTTGTCACAAATGGCAAGATTTCATTCTTTTTTATAGCAAAATAATATTCTTCTTTATCCATTCATCTATCAGTAGACATTTAGGTTGCTTCCATATCTTGGCTATTGTAAATAATGCTGCAGTAAACATAGGGTTGCATACATCTTTTTGTATATGTGCTGCCGAAGCGAGCACAGGGTGGCATACATCTTTTTGGATTAGTGTTTTCATTTTCTTTGGATGACTGCCCAGAAATAGAATTACTGGATCATATGGTACTTATATTTTTAGTTTTTTGAGGTCCTCCATACTGTTTTCCAGAGTGGAAATGGCCAATCTTACTTTTAGAAGATCCTTCCAAAAATCAACAAAACATTTCATTTAGAAGCTTTTCCTGATATTAAGTTTGAAATGACATTCCATTTACTGATCTATTTAAAGTCCTTTATTTTCAGCAACAGCTTCTTTTCCAAGTATCATATATCCAGGGTTAAGGGAAGGGACTCTCAAATTCTGGGTCACTTTCTGTGATAATATATGAATTCAACCATAACAGTATTAAAATATGAATGGATTTATGGCACATTTCAAGAAGAATTCAATGAACTGAGTTGAGCTAATAAAATCTTTACTTATGAAAAAAATAAAGAGGAAAATGCTGAAATGATTAAATGCTTTTTTATTTGCTCAAATGGAATTTAATTTGAAGTCTACTCCTCCTGCTGACACTATTTAAAATCCACTAGGTCAATAATAGAAGAAATTTTAATCTAAATGGTAGTTTCATCCCCAAAATAAAGACTTTATTATAGGATTGACATCACAGCCTTAAAAAATGGTGCCAGCAATTTTGATACTTTCATTGTTTAGATTGTTATTATTTCCAATGTGAGAATTTTGAATGCATTGCAATATATTTTATAATATATATACAGACTTTGAAAGGTAAACTCATGGTCTTATAAGTCGGTCTGTGTTACTGTGTTAGGCAGAATTCTAATATGGCTTCCAAGATTTTTGCCCCCTGGTATATACACCTTAAATAATCCCTTCCCCTTAAGTATGGACAGGACCTGTGAATATATTAGGCTATTACTCTTGTGATTATGTTATGTTAGATGAGAAAGGTAAAGGGATTTTGCATACATAATTAAGATTCCTAATTTGTTGACTTTTGAGTTAATCAAAGGGAGATTATTCTGGGTGAGCCTGATTATCCATTTGAGCCCTTCAAAGAGTGCTTAGAGCTTCTCTGAGCTCAGAGATAGTCTCCTGCCAAAAAGCAAGCCATCATGAGTTTATAGCTATAAAGAAATTAATGCTGGCCACAAAAACCCAAATGAGCTTGGAAGATGACCCTAAGCCTCTGATGAGACTGCAGCCCCAGCCGACACATTGACTGCCATCTTGTGAAAACCAGAGCAAGATGATCCAACTGAGCTCTGCCCAGATTTCCTGATCCACAGAAACTGTGGGATAAACAATTCATATTGTTTTAAGCCACTGAGTTTACAGTGATTTGTTACAGGGTAATAGAAGACTAATGCAGTTATATTAGACATTAGCTGCACTAGTTAAGGCTACAGGTAACATGACTTGACCCTATGCATGTCAAAATTGGCTGAAACATTAGTATTACAACCAGACTCTATTATAGCAATATAATATATACATTGAAATACATGAAAAGAATGTCATATCAGGAAAGAGGCTTGCTATAGTAGGGCTGATGTGGCCAAACCAAGTTAAGACAGAACAATTAAAAACAGAGCAGAGGTTAGTGAGAGTGATGGTTTTTCAACTCAGATTGAGAGAGGTAGGGATCAAAAGGTAGACAAAAAGAGTAACATGATTCAGCAATAATTCAATGTGGCAAGATAAAAATATAAGAAGTAATCTTGAATCTCTATCCTGGAGATTGGGGAAATGGTACTATCAACTGCATAAAGAAGTATACAGAGGGGGCTCCTGGCTGGCTCAGTCAGTAGAGCATGCAACTCTTGATCTCAGAGTTTTAAGTTCAAGCCCCACGTTGGGTATAGAGATTACTTTTAAAAAAATAAAATCTTTAAAAAAAAAGTATTCAGAGAAAATAAGAGAGTAATAGAGTGAGTCTTCCTTGTTTGCTGTAAAGCAGGGGTCAACAAACTATGGCCTGCCGGCCAAATAGCCCAGAACCTGTTTTTGTAAATAAAGCTTTATTGGAACAGAGCTGTGCTCATTCATTTATATATTGTCTTTGACTGTTTTTATGATACAGTGGCAAAGTTGAGTAGCTGCAACAGAGACTCTATGGCCTGAAAAGCCAAAAATGTTTACTCTATGGCCCTTTATAGAAATGTTTGGCCATCCTGGTATACAGCATAGTACGCCCATAGTCCCTGGCACAGAGCAGGTTGCTTAAGAAATGTTCATGAATATTATCATTGAAATTCATTTGTAAAGTTCTCTAATAAACAGCCAGAACAAACATTACTAAAAGTTTTTATTCTTCTCCCTAGTTCACATGTTTTAGAGCCCATGGCCCTCATTTTCCTTCTACTTTCTAATACAGAAAATTTAAATAAACAGTTGAGGAGGGTGGGAAAAAATTAAGATTATAGAACGCTGGCTCAGGATGTAATTCATAGTCTATAAATCATATAAAAAGATCAAGCAGATAATATACAAAATATGCAAACACGTATTTTCTGTGGCAAAGAATGCTATTGTCCCCCTATTGTACACTCTTTTATTCTTCCTTTTAATAATAGGTGTCCATATCACCATCCAGAGTTTAGCTAGGTACAGAGCCATGCAACTACAGACACATCCAACTTCTCTTGCAGCTAGATACGGGCATATGCCTAAAGTCCCCATCAATAGAATGTGAGCAGAAAAGCCTAATATGCCTCTCTTACAGAGGAAATTTGCTTGCCTTCTACTTCTCTTCCTGCACCCCATAGGGTTTAATGAAGTCACGAAGGTCAGTCAGGGATAGCATAATAAACCATGGGGACAGAGATAGCATAATAAAAGATGTCAGAGCAACAAAAGGGAAGGAACCTAGGTCTCTGATCTTCTAGAGGAAAGCTTGACTATCTACTCTGGACTAGTATGTGAAAAAGATACAAATTTCTATCTTCTGTGTACCACATATTTTAGTGTATCTTTATTATAGCAGCTTACTCTATATGTTAATAAACCCCCCCACCGTCATTCACTTCAAGGTCACACAATTATATATTAAATGAAGCTACTATTAACTCCTCCCTTTACAATATAATCTTTCTGTTATGTGGGTATAAGGGTACTCTGTAAAATTCTAGTAGAGAAACCCTGGCTTTTATTTTTATTTTTTTAATTTATTTTTTTATTATTTTTTATTTTTTTAAAGATTTTATCCATTTATTTGCGAGAGAGAATGAGAGACAGAGAGCACGAAAGGGAGGAGGGTCAGAGGGACAAGCAGACTCCCTGCTGAGCAGGGAGCCCGATGCGGGACTCGATCCCGGAACTCCAGGATCATGACCTGAGCCGAAGGCAGTCGCTTAACCGACTGAGCCACCCAGGCGCCCGGGTTTTATTTTTTTTTAAAAGATTTTATTTATTCATTCGAGACACAGAGATAGAGAAAGAGCATGAGCAGGGGGAGAGGCAGAGGGAGAGGGAGAAGCAGGCTCCCCGCTGAGCCAGGAGCCAGACGTGGGGCTCGATTCCAGGACCCTGGGATCATGACCTGAGCCAAAGGCAGACGCTTAACCATCTGAGCCACCAGGGCGCCCCAGAGAACCCCTGGCTTTTAAAGTATGATGGGGCATTTGGGCTTTTTCAAGCCCCACCAGACAATGACAAAAGATAAAATTATGCTAAGAAAATCTTTGTACCCTTAATAATCCAGAAAGACAGAGAGAACTCACTATGTGCCAATTAATCTGTATCCTTCATCACAGAAGGAAGTGGAGAGACAAAGAATTTTAATATACTTATAAGGGGATTGAACAGAGAAGTAAGAGAGCTATGAGTTTTGGAAGACACTCAATGGAGTAATTAATGGGTTGTATCTACAAGGTGCCAGTGTCTTCTAAAAGACCTTACTTCTTAGCTGCCAATGTGTTCAGGCGCGATGACTCAGTTTCTGTTTCTCTGAACATCAGTCCCAGAGTCTGTATAATTTCAATGCATGCTCTAGAAAACAAAGAAAAAAGCACAAAAGTGGCATGATTGCATTACAAGTTCAGAATTTCACAAAATTAGTAATCCTTGATAGAATTGCTCTCAGATATCTATACAGAAAAACGTACGGAAAGGAAATTCTGTATGTTAATTGTCTGAGTCCCTACTCTGTGATTGCTGCATACTAAACACTCAACAATATTTGTTCAATGAATTAATTAATAGCTGAATGTCAGGATTAAAAGTCATTTTCATAGTGGTTTTTTGTCCTTAACATTTTTTTCTGATAATCACACACTATTTTAAAATTATTTTTAGGGGCGCCTGGGTGGCTCAGTTGGTTAAGCGTCTGCCTTCAGCTCGGGTCATGATCCCAGGGTCCTGGAATCGAGCCTCACATGGGCTCCCTGCTTTAATAATTTTAACTTTTTCAAGTAGGTAATATTTGGCTCAAAATGTCAAAGGTAAAAAAGGGAATACAGTGAAAGGTGTCTTTCCCCCAGACGCCCATTTTTTTTTTTCCTTTGGGACAACCAATATTACTAGTTTCTTATATAGCCTTTCTTTATTTTTTTAAAAGATTTTATTTATTTAAAGCCAAAGCCAGGCTGGATCCCAGGGCGCCGAGATCATGACCTGAGCCAAAGGCAGACACTTAACCGACTGAGCCACCCAGGCGCCCCTATAGCCCTTCTTTAAAAAGTAGAATAGGGGCGCCTGGGTAGCTCAGTCGATTAAACTTACAACTCCAGGGGCAGGTCATGATCTCGGGGTTGTGAGATCTAGCCCTGTGTCAGACTCTGAGCTGGGTGTGGAACTTGGTTAAGATTTTCTCTCTACCGGGGCCCCTGGGTGGCTCAGTCGTTAAGCGTCTGCCTTCGGCTCAGGTCATGATTCCAGGGTCCTGGGATCGAGCCCCACATCGGGCTCCCTGCTTGGCGGGAAGCCTGCTTCTCCCTCTCCCACTTCCCCTTTTTGTGTTCCCTCTCTCGCTGTGTCTCTCTCTGTCAAATAAATAAATAAAATCTTTAAAAAAAAAAAAAAAGGGGCGCCTGGGTGGCTCAGTCGGTTGGGCGACTGCCTTCGGCTCAGGTCATGATCCTGGAGTCCTGGGATCGAGTCCCGCATCGGGCTCCTTGCTCAGCAGGGAGTCTGCTTCTCCCTCTGACCCTCCCCCTCTCATGCTCTCTCATTCTCACTCTCAAATAAATAAAATCTTAAAAAAAAAAAAAAAAGATTTTCTCTCTCCCTCCTCCTTTGCTCCTCCCCCCCAAAAAAGTAGAACAAAATGAATGCTATTTTTAAAAACCTATGTGAAGCAAAACTTGCAGCACCATTAATCATTAATACATTAATACAATATTTTGTCCAGTGCCTTCCATTTATCTTTAATACCCTAAGGGAAGAAAAATCTATGACTATCCAGTTAGTACTTACACCAACTCATCAGCCCTTTGGCTTTTATTTTGAAGTATGCTCTTATCCCTAGACTCTGGCAAGTACTCATGAAGTTTGTTCACCAGGAAATAAAAAAGGTCACTGGTCTGTGAAAACAAGCAGGAAAGATGGTCATTAGGTATCAGTTGGTAAAACTCTATCTTTACATAATAAAAATATGAAGACATTATTTATTCTTTGGGGACGAAATGAATTATAATCTCTCTCATTAATAATAGCATAACCCAAATTGAAAACACTTTTTACTTACAACCAGGAGACCACTGTCCTGGTGAACAGAGCTAGAGCTAAAGCCTAGGGGGTGAGGCTGAGAGATCCCCAGTGGGCCCGGCTCTACCATTAATATTGAAGACCCTCCAGAAGTAGGTGTATAATCTCAGGCGAATCATTCAGGAACCTGGGAATACTATATTAAATGGAGGCTACTGTAATTCCTGCCTTTCCAAAGTAATTTGGCCTTTGTGAGGACACAATGAATAATGGCTAGAAAAATACTTTTTAAAAATGTTTGCTAACCTAAAAGCAAAGGCACAGCACTGGTATAGCCTAATGAAGACAGTGAAGAATGATACTAATAATTCTGTTAATACAGTGGAAATGTCGATTGCCATCTCCAGGAGAATATAAACACTGACTTTAAGAGTGTGCGAACCAGTTTTTTTGTGCTTCTGCACGGTCTCATGAGATAAATCGAGCATGAAATAAGCACTGGCCCATGAAATCAAGCAAGTTGGTACTAATGAGAAATATAATGTAATTGCTTCTCTTTTCTTTTCCTCTCTTATTCATTCCCCCCCCCCCAGGACTTTTTTTTACTAGTGACAAATTAGACTCTTTGTTTAGACAGGTATTATGTGTACCTTTATTTAGGTGGTAGGGCATGAGAAGAGACTGAGCAGGGCAGATGGAGAGAGGAACAAGAGGAGAAGAAGCAGATTGTATGCCAGGCCCTCTGAGAAGAGCTGCCATTTACCAGGACCCTGGGAAATGAGCACAGTGTGGTGGCTTTATACACTAACTCTGAGTTCACATCCCACCTCTGCCACTGGTTAGCTGTATGATACCTGGCAAGTCACTTACACACTCTGTTACTTAGTTCATGTCTAAAATGGAGTTAATGTCACCTGATGGGGTTGCAATAAGATAGTATCTGTAAAGCTTGAACGGTGCTCAGCACATCACAAGTGCTTAGTAAATTTATCAGTTATTATTGTGATCTCCAACCTGCTCACTAGTTCAGGAACTTTTATTCTTAAGGTATCTTCCACCACCCTGCAACAACATGGAGAAATCTCAAAACTATCACGCCAAAGGAAGCCAGCACAAAAGAGTACATAGTGTACATTTCCGGGTAAGTGGAATCCTAGGACAGGTAGAACTAATCTATAGTGACAGAAAGCACAGTGACTGCCCAGGGCCACGGATGGGAGGAAACTGCCTGCCAAAGGGTATGAGCCTTTTGGGGTGATAGAAGTGTTCTTTTTTTTTTTTTTTTTTT